GCCCCCCAAAAGTGATACTCCCATGCATCCAAAACCAGATCCCCATGCAAAACTGACCAGCAAAACCCCGCCCAAAACTGATATCTTAAACCCCACTTGCTGCACCCAAACCCCACCCATGCACCGTAACCATGCCCCCTGCACCTGAAAACTGACCCCCCAAACTCGGCTGCCTGCACCCAACCTCCACGCTCTGCACCCCAATCCCCCCCCACGACTCCACAAATTCCCCTTAGAGCCTCCCACTCCTCCCCTGGGACCCCCCAAGCCACCCTTAGAGCCCACCAATACCCTCCTGGGACACCTCAAATCCCTGTTATAGCTCCCTAGTAACCCTCCTGGAGCACCCGCAATTCCCTCAAGGACCTCCCCTGACCCCCGCTTTCCCTCAGGAGCTGCGTTCCCATGGGGGGGCCCCCCTGGACCCTTTTGAGGTGTTCACGTTCCACACCTGCAGCACCATCGCACGCCTCCTCTTCGGGGACCTGGTGGGGACTGTGGGTCCCTGGGATGGGGGCAGGGTTTGGGGGGGACCCGGGTTTTCACGGGGGCCCAGGGGTTTGGAGGGACCCCTGGAGTACCCAGGTGTTTGAGGGGCCCAGAGGTTCAGGGGGGCCCAGGGGGTTGGGGGGGTCCAGAAGTTTGTGAAGGGGACACCCAGCTGTTGGGGGGGGGCTGGCAGGAGTTTGGGGGCACCAGAAGTTTGAGGGGACCCAAGTGTCTGGAGCTATGTTTGGGGTGTTCTGGGGGGATCCAGGGTGAAGCCAGGGGTACTGAGGAGTACCCAGGTGTGTCCTCTCCTAGGTGCCCCCCCCAGGGGAACTCCGGGCCTTCTCCTGCTGTCTGGGGGAGCTGCTGCAGGTTTGGGGGCGCAGCACTGTGCGGGCTCTTGACCTGCTGCCCCCACTGCGGGTGAGCTGGAGGGGGGAGGGGGCTATGGGGCACTATGGGGACACTATGAGCATCTGTGGAGCCTGGGGGAGGCTACAGAGCCCTATGGGAGCAGGGGTGGCTATGGGGCTCTATGGGGGTCCCTGGGGGGCCATAAGGTCCTGGGGAAGGGGGGGTGTCTATAGGGCCCGGGGTGGGCTATGGGGCTGGAGGGTATCACAGGTTCTATATGGGGCTGGGGGACGGTATGTGGGGCTGGCAGGGGGCATACAGGATCCATATGGGGCTTGGGTGGTCTCTATGGGGCTGGGGAGAGGCTGTATGGCCCTGGGAGGGGTATTATAGGGTCTCTGTGGGGCTGGGGGGGATGTGGATCTGGGTGAAGGAACGTGGGGCTGGGAGGGGTGTTATAGTGTCTATATGGAGCTGGGGGGGGTGTTACAGGGTCTATATGGTGTTGGGGAGCACTGCAAGGCTGGGAGGAGCAGTTATGGGGGCTCTATAGGACTGGGGTGGTCTATATGGAGGATGTGTGTGGGGTAAAGGGTCTCTGTGGAGCTGGGGGTGCCTATAGGAACTCAGGTGAGTTTATATGGTTGGAGGGGCACCTATAGGGTCTATATGGCCCAGGGGACCATGCATAGGGTTTTTCTGGGACTGAGGGGAGTTATGGGGCATCTCTGGGGGAGGGAGTGTCTCTCGGAGGTCAGGGGGTCTCTATGGGGTCCCTGTGCCCAGGCCCTACCGAACCCGGGGCTGCGGGAGCTGCTGCGGCTTGTCCAGCACCGTGACGCCTTCGTGGAGGCCCAGATCCGGCGGCACCAGGTGGGGGCAACCAGGGATCAGGAGGGGTTTCGTCGGAATAAGGTGTTGGGGGGGGACGAGGAGTTGTGGAGGGGAAACCAGGGGTTTGGGGATCCCAGGGGTTTGAGGGATACCTGTGGGTCTGGGGGTTCCCAGGGTTTTGGGAGGACCTGCATTTTTGGGGTGACCCAGGGGATTAGGGGGACCTAGGGGGTCTTGGAGGAACACCAAGGGTTTGGGGGGAGCCAGAGGTTTGGGGGGACCCAGACCTTTGGGAGGGACCCCATGTTTGGGGGCAACAAGGGGTCAGGGGAACGCTCACAACATGTGTCCCCCCTTCCCCAGGAGTGTCCCTCCCCCCCCTCGGACACAGTTTTGGGGGCGCTGCTGGGGCGTGATCCCGGAGTGCAGGGGGCTCCCCTGAGCCCCCCCCGGCTGCACATGGCGCTGGTTGACCTGTTCATCGGGGGCACCGAGACGACAGCGGCTGCGCTGGGCTGGGCTGTGGCCTTCCTGCTGCACCGCCCCGAGGTGACATGCATGTCACACATGTCACAGCCATGTGACACGTGTCACAGCCATGTCCAAGCCCCAATGCATGTCCCTGGGTGGGTCTCATGTCCCCATGTGTGTCGCATGTGTACCTTGTGGCCACCACTGTCCCCCAGGCCTGAGATGCCACACACGTGTCACAGCTGTGTCACAGCTGTGTCTGTGTCCCTATGTGGCTCCTTGGTTTGGGGTTTCCATGGAGGGGCGACTTAGGATCTGGGGAGGGAGAGTCCCAAGGGGCAGGTCTGGGGGTTCAGGGGTCTCTGATGTTTGGTGGGGGCATCTCCAAGGCAGAGGGAGAGGCAGGTTTGGAGGTGGGGTCTGGAGGTCCCAGGGCAGGTTTGGGGGCTCGGGCAGGGCCTGGGGGTTTGGGGGATCCCCAAGACTGGGAGAGGGGCAGGTTTGGGAATGGTTTGGGGTCCCAGGAGCGGGTTTGGGGGGTCTGGTGGTTCATGGGGGTCCCCAAAGCAGGGGGAGGCTTTGGAGGACTTGGAGTCCCAGGGACAGGTTTGAGAGGGTCTGGGGTTCAGGAGGGTCCCTCTGTCACCCCATTGCCAATGTGTGCCCCCTGGGTGCCCCCTCCCCACCCCATGACAGACATGACACACCTGTGCACACCTGTGCCTCACCTGTGCAGCTGCAGGCGCAGCTGCGGGCGGAGCTCAGGGGGGTACAGGGTCCCCCCGGGCCGGGGGACACGGGACGCCTGCCCCTCCTTCAGGCCACTGTCAGCGAGACCCTGCGGCTGCGGCCCCCTGCACCCCTGGGGCTGCCCCACTGCGCCCTGCGCCACACCAGGTACAGACCAGTACAGGATGGGAATGGCCAGTGTAGGGAGGGGGGCTGGGAGGAACCACTTTGGGAGTTGTGGCTGGGAGGAACCACTACAGACAAGTAGGGACCACTTGACATCATCAGTAGGGTCCAGGAGAACCCAGTAGGGCCCAGTAGACCCCAGTAAGTCCCAGTAGGACCCACTAGACCACAGCAGAGCCCAGTAAGACCCATTAGGTCCCAGTATGGCCCCAGTAGACCCAAACAGACCCATCAGGTCCCGGTTACTCTCAGCAGGGCCCCAGTAAACCCCAGTAGATGCCAATAGACCAATATGGCTCAGTAAGTCCTTGTAGGGCCCAGTAGGCCTCAGTAGGTCCCAGTAAGTCTCAGTAGGGCCCAGGAGAACCCAGTCAGGACCAGTATGGATGAGGGGGAACCGGGAGGAATCACTACATACCAATAGGGGCCACTCAGCATCACCAGTAGAGTCCAGGAGAACCCAGCAAATCCCAGTAGAACCCAGCAGGCCCCAGCAGAACCTAGTAAATCCCAGCAGACCCCAGTGCTGCCCAGTAGACCCCAATAAATTCTAGTAAGACCCATCAGGTGTCAGTACGGCCCCAGTAGACCCCCAGTAGGCCCCAGTATGACCCCAGTATGTCCCAGTAGGCCCCAACTGGTCCCAGCAGACTGCAGTAGACCCTAAGAAACACCCAGTAGATCCCAGTAGTCCCCATCGGAGCCCAGAAGATTCCAGCAGGAGGTCCCACTAAGGCTCCAGTAAGTCTGAGTGTGGCCCCATTAGACCTCAATAAGCATCCAGTAACCCCCAAAGAGTACCAGTAGACCCCAGAGAACCCCAGTATGGCCCCAGCAGGACCCTGTATGACCCCAGTAGACCCCAATAGACACTCAGTAGCTCCCAGCAGCCCCTAGCAGATTCCGGTATGGACCCTGTAGACATCCAGTAGATCCCAGAAGACCCCAGAGAGCCCCAGCATAGCCCCAGCAGGTCCCTGTGTGGCCTCAGTAGGTTCCACTATGGCACCAGCAGGTCCCAGTATGGCCCCAGTAGCTCTCAGTAGCCCTCAGCAAAGCCCACAGCAGACCCCAGTCCATCTCAGTGACCCCCTGTCCCCCCCAGTCTCGGAGGGCTCCCCATAGTGGCTGGCACCATCCTGGTCCCCAACCTGCTGGCAGCCCAGCAGGACCCTGTCATCTGGCAGCAACCCGAGGCCTTCCTGCCTGGTACGTGGGTACCCCTGCACCCCTGGGGCCCTCCCAAAACCATGGGGTTCTACCCCTGAACCCCTATCCCCTCCCAGTCCCCTTATCCCCTGGGTCCCCCCAGACCCCTGGGTCCAGTCCAAAAACCTAGGGCCTCCTGCAAACATGTGGGTCTTCCATCCCCCTAGGTTCTCCCCATACATCTGGGTACTCTCCAAAACCTGTGGGTCCTCCTGGTTCTCCCCGAGCCCCCGGGACTTCCCTCAGGTGTCTGACCCCTCCCCAAACATGTGGGTCTCCCCTGACCCCCTTGGGTCATCCTCCAAACCCCTGTACCCTTGTCCTGAACCCCGGGGTTCCTTCCGGATCTGTGAGTCCACCCCAAACTCGTGGATCCTCCCATCCTCCCGGACTCCCCCCCAAACCTGTGTGTCCCCCCATCCCCGAGGATTCCCCCCCCAAACCTGTCCCCCGCCCCCCCAGAGCGGTTCCTGTCCCCGGGCGCTCCCTGGCGGTCGCTGCTGCCGTTTGGCTGCGGGGCGCGATCGTGCCCGGGAGAGGCGCTGGCGCGGGCCGAGCTCTTCGTGTTCCTGGGGCTGATCCTGCGGGAGTTCCGGCTGGAGCCGGGCCCGGGGGGACTGCCGGGACTTGGGGTGTCACCAGGAACCGTGCTGCGCTGCCCCCCCTTTCGTCTGCGCATGGTGCCTTGCCAGCCCCCGGGCTCACCATAACCCTGGCCTGGCCCCTGCGTGACTTCCTGAACACTCTGTGACTCACCCGACCCTTTCTGACCCTTCCGGAACACACCTGACCCGTATGTGACACCGCCTGAACTGGTTGACCTCGACCCCTTTACTGACCCCACCTGACCCCTGATCCCTCCCTGGCCTGGCTGTGAGCCTGGTCTGACCCTTGCCAGCCCTTGGCCTCACCTTGACCCCGGCCATGACCCCGGCTGTGACTCTACCCAACCCCTTCTGACCCATCCCGAATCCTGCGTGACCCCATCCCTACCCACCTGACCCTTACTAATCACACCTGACTCGACCTGATCCCCCCTGAACCCTCCTGACCCCTGGCCCCCCCCCCGATGCCAGGGTCACTGTAGGGGGGGGGTGTCACTGGCAGCATTTACCTCCTTCCAATAAAAGTTATACTTTTGACCCCACCCCGCAAGTCCCGGCTCTTCCTGGGACACCGCCCACAAAACCCCCGGAACTCCGGGAAGCTACAGCCCCGCCCCGACTCTGACTGGCAACACTCGGCACTTGCCACAGCCGCGACCCTCGGGACAGCATTGGGGGATCTTGGCCTGGGCGATCTCCACAAAGCCCTTTCCGGGGGGCGGCTGGGCTCAAGGTTGGGGTCGCAGCCGCGCGAGACGCTCGTCCGTGCTGCTGGGCGGGCCGGCAACTGAGGAGACGTCATCAGGGCGCGCTCTGATTGGCCGAGATGCGTGGGTGTACTGGGCACTGCTCCGCCTAGTAACTGAGGAGTCATGAGCGAAGCGCATTTTGATTGGTTTAGTATGGGGGCTGGGTTCTGCTAGTCCGCCTGGCAACTGATGAGTCATAAGCAAAGAGCGCTCTGATTGGCTTGAATGTGTTGAGGGCGGGAGGAAAGGAGAGCAGAGCGCCCTCCCCAGAGCAACATTCCGAGATAGAGGGACTTGAAGAGAGGGGAATTGGTGAGGGTTGGAGGGGAGAGTGCCCCGCCCCGAGCCACAATCCCGAGGAAGGAGTGGTGGGGAGGGGAGGAGAGCAGAGCGCTGGCCCCGACGCAGACACCCGAGGGACAGAGAGGTGAGGAGGCAGACCCCCACCCCTGCCTGCCCCTTCCCCTGCCGAGCCACATGCCCGGTTGAGCACAGCGGCAAGTGATGGGTAGGCAAAGCAAGGCAAGGGAGGGGGCAAGGCAAGGGAAGGTGAGGGAGGGTGTGTTTGTTTTAACACCAGCTGGAAATTAAACTCCAAATAAGCCACGCCCCTTCCCCTGCCCTTCTGGTAAGGGAGGGACAAAAGCTGAGACTACAGGTTGAGATGATAATTTACTGAAAGCACAAAGCAATGGAATAAGACATACACAATAACAGCAGCAGAATTAATAGCAAAAGTATACGAAAAGAGAAGGTGTTTTACCCAAAAAGAGATGTTCACCACCCAAAAAAACCCAAGATGGTAGACGCTAAACGTAGGACGCGTCCACGTGGCTTCCCCAGATAAAGGCAATACAGGGTGTCGCCCACGTGGCCGACGGGAACAAAGGCAAGATGGCCATTAGCATTTGTCATCCCCCTGCCTGAAATAACAAAAACCGATGACAAACAAACCCCACAAAAGCTGCCATTCAACACGTCGATTTGTATTTCGCCGCTGTCCTTTCAGCACCATGTCCTGTAGT